GAGGTCTCAAGTTCCATCCCAAGCACTGCCAAAAACACAGAAAACATTTCAGAGCTTATTTAAGGATTCTGAAATCCAGAGTTCTTAGTGGCTGAGGACGGTCCTTTCAAACTGAAACTAATTGCTCAGTCTCTGATGGAAGTTCCGCCTGTCTCTTGCATTTGTAGTCTGTCTCCCGGCTTGTCCCATAGCAAAGACTTTCACTTCCTCACCGCCTGCCCCTCCTGCAGCGGTAGCCTGAGGAAGAGTGGGTCCTGACACCCAGTAGATGTGAGGTGACCCAACTGGCTCCCTTGTGCCCTGGACATTTCCAGTTTTGCACCAAATATCCCTTAGCAGTTTCCTGTTCGATTGTCTACTGGGAAGCTTCAGAAACAGCCCTGGTTTTCATAAACGTAGAAAGCTTCCCATAGATTCCCGAGGTTGTCCTGCAGGAGATTTCCTGTTGACAGAAACACAGGAAAACGCAGTGCGGGGGGCTGCGCTGGCTGAACATCTGTGCCCCCGGTCCCTGTGCCGGTCGTGACCCTCACGGGAAGGCCTGCCGGCTGCGGGGCTGGGAAACCGGCTCAGCAGGCAGGATGGGCCCTGCACGGGCAGCCGCCTCATCCCAAGCATTGTTGCTGAGACAGCAGAGCCTGCGTTCGTCTTGTCACGTCAGTCCCCAGCCATGTCACATTCAACATGAAGCAAGAGCAGAACTACGCACATAACCTGTGGGGGTGAGAGAGATGATGTTGTCAAGGCCAAGGACAAATCTGCTTTGGGATATCTTCCTCCCATTGAATGTGGGGACCTCCAAACCTGAGCGGCTTCTCTCTGATCAGCGATCAGTAAGTGCAGTCATGAGTGTCAGGGTCTGGCTCCCAGTCTGAGTTACACTGTGCTCCACACCGGCCCACACCGCCAGACCGTGTCTTAGCGCACCTGGCTCAGCACTGCAGCCTGGGGCTCCCACTGCCAGCCTTATACCCACCGCACACCAGGCTCGATTCTTCCTCCCAGCCAGGCTGGCTGCTCACTCTTCCCAGCTTCCCTGCCTCTGTGAATGCTCTCTCTCTCTAACTGGCTTTTTGTCTGCGTGACACTGGGCAATGTTCTCCCATTTCTACTGCTACTCCTGATGGCCTTCAGCATGCGACTGGAGCAAAATGGCCTGAAATGGCCCAGGGGAGGTGGCAAAGGCTGCCGCAGAGGCTCCATTTACACTGTGGCTGGATCGGGAGACAGCGGGTGTTTGTGGGAGGAGACAACAGTGTTTATTGCAGAAATCCAAGAAGCATCTGTTTACCTGGGTAGGGAAAAAAGCCTGATTTGACGCTCCCCCTTTATATAAATGTCAGTAGGGCTGGGAAGATAGCTCAGTGGCACAGCACCTGCCTGGCAAGCGCGAGGCCCTGAGTTCAATTCCTGGTACCAAATAAATAAATAGATAAATAAATGTCAATAAATGCAAAACTCAAAAACCCTTTTTATTAGTCTCAGGAAAGGCAAGTTATATAAATCCAAGCAGAAACAAAGTAACAGTTGCACTGTAAGTGTTTTTTATTTGTTTTTCTTCTCTCATGAGTAATTACTTATAATTTGCTGCCTTCTTCAGGAACTGAAGGGAGTGGTTAGGAAGAGAATGGGAAAAGCCATCTGGAGGTGGGGAGAGCAGAGCTTGTGACACAGGCCAAAGGAGGTCGCTTTCAGTGCAAGGTGGAGCGGGAAGGGGCGGGGGAGGCCGGGAAGATGCTTTACCAAAGAAACATCATTTCAGGTGACTGTAATTTGAATACATGATGTACATTAAAAACCCCCTTTCTTCTCAACAGGAACCCCTCGAGTTAAAATTTCCAAACATCTCTTATCCTGCCCTGGGACTCTTAAAGGTAAAATCCTGGCTTCCAACAGACCGGAAAGCACAGCACTGGAGAACCTAAATTACTTGTGTCAATCCATAAAATGAACTGCTCCTTTCAGAATTACTCTCCTTTGAGATGCACACATATTTTCAGTTTTTAAAATGGGCCACAGCCGGGCGTGGTGGTGCACGCCTGTAATGCCAGCACTCGGGAGGCTGAGGCAAGAGGATCGTTGCGAGTTCGAGACTAGCCTGGGCTACAAAGTGCGCTCAAGGCCAGCCTGAGCTGCATAGCGAGACCCTGTCTCAAAAAGACCCACAAAAATAAAAAAAATAAAATAAAATGGGCCACATTCTATTACAGTAACAATACCTGCAAGTGGGTATTACATTAAATAAACCTAACATGGTGTTTGAAACAACTTTATACAGAACAGAAATTTCAAGGGGGTGGTGTTTAAAACGATCCTCAGCTTCAAAAAATGCAGAGCTGTAGGATCCTTTAAATAGCCAAGTTTCTAGCACATTTGCAGTACATTTTGGTTTTAAAAGTTGATTTACATATGCATGTTTAGAAATGTAGCTGTTCCACAAAGTCAGTACAGCACCAGTTGAAATACTTGCAAGTTGTAGTCAATGTCCCACAGATTTCAAAGATTATTTAACATATTTACTGATGTATTTCTACTGGTACAAAAATAAACAGGTGATATGTAGTTTATGAGATTTATCTATCCAGGTGTGAATCTCACGGCGTACTTAATGCAAAGAAAATAGTTAAGAATGATGTTACGTAAGAGAATATGTATTATGTCTTCTCTTCCATGTACACGCATCTGTGCTTGTAATGCATGGAATACTTCTAGAAAGACACCCCACCCCAAGTAGCTGATTCTAGAAGAGAAATGAAGACCTAGAGTGTCAGAGACTTTGCTGTATACTATGTGAACTTTATTTGTACCACATGTGAATATTATTTTTAAATAAAAACACTGGTTTTTTCTAAGTACCAGAAAGTGACTAAGACAGCTAAGTGAACTACCCCAGCTGGCCACTGAGGCAGCTCCAAAATCATATCCTCCTCCCCACTGGCAGAGCACCAGCTGCCTCAAGACCAGAACAGGGTGGAGAAAACCATTTTTTGGTATTACTTCTGGATAGTATTCATCAGTATTCTGTGTTTCCCATTAGGAAGACTGTGAGAGGAACTGAATGTGTGATTCTGTGATTTTACTACTTTTTCCTTTATATTCCCAACTGAAGACTTTAGTTTTTCACAAGTACCACATATATGGTACTTACTGGTTTCATAGAAGTAGCCAAGCAGACAGTGGTCACTAGAAGCTGGGAAGGGTGGGAAGGAGGGGGGATAAAGGATACCAAAATACAGCTAGGTGTAATCTTATGACTTAAGGAGGCTGAGGCAGGAGGATCCCAAATTCAAATTCTTTTTTGAGCAATTTAGAACTTTTCTCAAAATAAGAACTAAAAAAAAAAGAAACGAGGATGTAGTTCAGTGGCAAAGAGCTCTTGGGTTCAATCTCTTAGTACCAGAACAAAAGAAAAAAAAAAAATACAACTAGATTTGAGGAGTAAGTTCCAGCATTCTACAGCACAATAGGGTGACTACAGTTGACAACAATTTATTCCATATTTTATAAAGAACCAGAAGAGTTAGGAGGCTTCTTAAACAGAGAAGTGATTAAGGAGATGGAAATGCCATTGTCCTGATTTGATCATTATACACTGTATACATGTACAGAATTATCCCCTTCTACTCCATATTTATTTACTATTATATATTTATTGAAATGATTTTTTTTTTTTTTTTTGAGACAGTGTCTTGCTATATAGTTCAGGCTGGCCTTGAACTCACTCTGTGAAACTCTCACTTTAGCCTAGACTGGCCTGGAACTTGCTATGATCATCCTGCCTCAGCCTCCTGAGAGCTGGGATTTCAGGTGTCTACGACCCCACTTGGCTGAAATGATTGAAAATAATTAAAAGGGCTAGGGGTGAGCATGGAGGTAGAGTGCTTGCCTAGCACGCCTGAGTTCCTGGGTTCCCTCTTCAGCACCGTGAAAATAAAAATATAAAGAAAAAGTATTTTTGGAATTTAGTCTTTTAAAGAAAAAAAAAAAAAATAAGTAAGCTAACAGAATTCTGAAGAAGTACGAAGGAACCTTCTGCTCTTTCAGGGCTGCCTGCACATGGACCCTGGCGAGAGACTGACGTGTGAACAGCTGTTGCAGCACCCGTACTTTGAAAGCATCAGAGAAGTGAGAGGGCTGACAAAAGAACATGACAAACCAACCAGGAAGGCCCTGAGACAGAACCAAAGGCACCTGCCCGGGGTAAAGAGGATGTCCTGCTGGACAGAAACATCCAAGGTTTCGGTTTCAAATGATTTCACGCCTGCCACCCAGTACAGAGTTGGAATCTAGACCGGAGGCGGTGGTTGTGGCCTTATTCTAGCACCAGGGATCAGGTCCCATGCTCTCCCGCTAGAGCCCCGAGACATCGGAGGCCCCTTGCTCCTGAACCGTGATCCTCTGGCATCCTACTGTTTCCTGCAGCCACACGGGGGCCAGGGTTTCTGATGCGCATGAGCTCGGGTCTCTGCCAGGTACAGCGGCGAGTCCAGCTGCATGTGCTTCTTGCAGCTGGGAACGTGAAACCAGACCTGTCCCAGGCAGCAGTCTGTCATCACGTTCACCGTCAGTGTTCGCATTCTGGGTTCACCTGAACAGGAACTTTTTGCCTCCCTGACCCTTTGATTGTCAGGGTAAACCTGGCGCTGCGCTGGCAGCAGTTTCGGCAGGCTGTGCGGTGAGCTGGAGGACAGCAGCCACCATGCATCTGGGCTGTGAAGATCTAGAATGGACCCTGGTAGTGCAGGAACCACAGTTAGGATGGGCTGGCTGCTCCTGGTCACTGACTCGGCCTGAATTTACCATTCCTGGGCTGAGTTATCTCGCCTCGGTCACTGTATCTGCAGCCACTGTGGCCCTGAAGGATGAAGGTGTCGGGTGGTGTGTGTGGTCTGGAGAAACGGGAGGGAAATGTTCACTGGAAATACGGGCTGCGTGAACTCCAGGGCCCGGAGGTAGGCCACAGTTACAAAGTTAGGAACATCTTTATTTTATCCTCTGTCACATACGACCTGGATAGCAAAATAGGCCAGACATAGACTCCCCTCACTCCCAGCTACCCCCACCTCACTGTTACTTTGTGTCCAAGAGCAAAGAGATGGTGGAAATAGCTCTGCTTGAAAGACTAGGGGAACATCAGGGTCCAGACTATTGCTTTTTAATCATGAAGGATTCAGTTGTTTGATTTAAAAGTACTAAAAATGATCCTCTTTTCAGATACCTAACGCCATATAGCACAATGCAAATACCGTTGTGTTTTCCTTACTATCATGTGACATTGACAGTAAAGTCCAGTGTTTGCAGTATGCTCAAGGCAAACAGCGCCCACCCCAGGACTGAGCTACACCCCCAGCCTGTCAGTTCTGCCTTTTAAACTAAGGGAATAAATGAGCAAGTCACTATGTCCTGTGGGCATCGGTATTCTCTGCTACAAGGCGGGGCAATGGCCTACAAGATCCAAAAGGCCCAGCAAGCTCCCAACTCCTGTAAATCTATGCCTTTTCCCAGTAACGTGAACACTGCAGGTTTTCCACTTTTTCATTTTCTTTAAATTCTCTTTAACATATATGTTTTTGCTTTTTAGTATAAAATAAACTTTTACAAGGAAAACTACAGACCAAATTGAAATACTATTCTCTTTCAGACTCTGGATTTTGTGGGGAAAAAAAGTTTCTGTGCTGAAAAAGCCACCTCTTTACCTCTTTTGTGATGTGTTCTGAACAATGAAACGTGCACGGCAGGGTTTCGAACCTCATTCTGCGTTCTGTGTTTTCAGTTGCAGTACCTACCTCAGCTAACTAGCAGCAGCATCCTTCCAGCTTTGGACAACAGGAAGTACTACGGTAACACCAAGAAACTTAACTACCGTCTCCCAAACATTTAAGGAGTTAGGAGGTCGATGACAAGGGAAGAACTGATCAATAACTTGAAGGACGTGAAACTGACCCCTTTGTCTGAAAACAGTTACAGTGCTGAAAACATAAGCAACTGCGAGGCCACTTGCCAAGAAGTGAAGAGCAATCCCAGATCCAGTCCTCATCCTTGGTGCTGGTGTCCAGAACAAAAAGGAAAGACCTGTTCGGAATTTCACTTGTACTTTTGTTTATCGAAGCAGCTGAGCTATGAGTAGAATATACACTGCATCTACTGCCCATATCTCTGGCAAAATTAGATAATGTTATAAAAAGACGCCTTAGCTGTACTCTATGCCACAAGTGAAAAATGGATCACACCGTACCCAGATGTACTTCCTTGGACCTCTGTGACCTTGAGTCCTGTCTCCTACCTTTCAGATTGTTTCAACATCATCTTGAAGGACAGGTTTTATGCATCAAAATTCTTAAAATTCCTCTTCCTGCTTACTCTATCTCTTGTTTTTTTTTTTTATTTTAAACCACTTTTGGGGAAATCTAAACTGTTCACCATATCTAAAATCATATCGATTATGACAAAGATTTTATCATATGCCTAATAGTTGATGTTCACGCATTTCTTATGTACATTTTTGTTTTTACCTTTAGTGAAGAATGTGTCTTAGTCATTTTTGCATGCAAGACGTATTTACTGCAATCCGTCTACCCTCGTTCACCCAGCTCCTCTTGCAGATGATGGCATGAAGCTTGGCAGCCAACCAAAGTGGTCAAGGGGTAGAACAAGACCTACAGGCTTCACCGGAACTTAATCTGTGAGCTTGAAAATAATTAGGACTTAGTTCTCTCCAGCTCAGCCTCAGACATGCAGACAGATCTACAGGAAGAACTGCATATGGTCTTCTGGGTTTTAGAGGAACTGGCTGGAGACTTTTCCTTGAGTCATGAAAGATGTTAGGTTGTTAGCTGACATTTTCCCTGAAACACCTTTCCATACTACATGTCTGTATGTATATATAAGTGTATTTATTTATATACGTGTGGGTATATGCTATCTTAACAACGAATACAACTAATAGCAGATGATACGTGTTGAGGATTCCTAGGTTTGTACAGTGAGATTTGAAATAATCGTGAGTTGGTCTCCTGCTCCTAAAGAACCTTTTTTATACTTGCCCTTTGCACATGGGGCCATATGCAGCACCCGCTTCCACACAGCTCAACACCATCTCAACACCAGGTTGTTCTCAGCCTAGCAGCTCTCATCCATGGTTCTCAGTGTTGTTTTATGATCTCCTCAGCACATTTCTTCTGCATTCTCACCGTCTTCCCTTGTTAATTTTCTTTCTGACTGCACTTGACCCCATTCATTTACTGCTAACTTATCTACCAAATTCCATCATCTGCTCAATAGTTTTGGCTCACCCAGCCATATTCTTTTTTTTTTTTTTTTTTGTCTTTTTGAGACTGGGTCTCCCTGTACAGTGCAGGCTGGTCTTGAGCTCACTTTGTAGCCCAGGCTGGTCTTGAACTTGCAATGATTCTCCTGCCTCAGCCTCCCAAGTGCTGGGATTACAGGTGTGCGCCACCATGTCTGGCCACCCAGTGATATTCTAAGGCTTTCTAATGGAGGTAACATAGACCTGATAGTGGGTAAAATAATAGCCCCGGTATTATTCAATTCCTGTTGTACAGCCTTGATTCAAGTGACATGGAAGGACATGCAACTTCTGTGTTGTCTTGTTCCCCTTAGTCCATGAAAATGTATTTGACGGAGGCAGATAACTGTAATTGCCTGATCTAACAGTTTTAGAGAAAACCACCAACAACAGAAAAGTAGCTCCAGACTAAATCGTAAAGAATCAGTTGTCTCACCCCACAGTAATAAAACCAATGTGAAAAAAGGTTCATTTTTCTCTAATGAATTCCATTAAATTTATGCTTGTGTTTAGTTTAACCATGTTGCTTTTTTCTTCACAGAATCACCACTTCATCACGTGAAACTGTTCTACATCCTTGTCTTTTCTTTTTATATACTATTTTCTGATTTTTAAATGGCAATAATAATTCTACTGGTAAATAGTGTATTATTTATGCTGTGTATTAATTATATAAGGTGGTTTGTTTCATTTCCCTTATAAAATATGGGTGCATATCTCCTTATAGGCTTAGTCCTAGATGTCACTAAATTCATTTTTCTGCATGAAAGCTGTACCATAGAAAACATTTCTTTTAAACTCATTTCCAGTAAAGTTTATATTCAGCTGTTTAATGTTAAAAACAAATATACAGAATTCCACAAATAAATCAGCATATAGCCAACAATAATAGAATCAGAACTATTTCAAGTAGGTAAAAATAAAGATGTTTTTATCTATTTATGTCATGTTTTATTACTGTTTTCTATACATAAATTGCGTTTTGTATTTATACTTGTATTTAATGTCCCTTCAGCTCATAGAAGGTAGCGCCTCAGATATTTGTGAAGAAAAATTAGTTTCTATTGATACATTAAAATTTTACTTACAGCAAATATTTGGGGAGTTGTTTTGAGACAGGTTCTCGCTATGTAGTTCAGGCTAGCCTTGAACTTGTGGTGCTCCTCCTGCCTCAGCCTCCCCAGTGCTGGGATTATAGGCATGTGCCATCATACCCAGCTTTAAATAAAAATTTTAACTGAAGAAAAAACATAAGTGAAGCCTGGTGGTGTTTATGGTTGCTATCTTTGTTCCAGTGCAATCAGCGAACTATCTGAAATGAGCCAAGTATACGTGTCCAATTTTAAATACTGGCCTAAGCTTACCAAAGAGAAAAATTAATCAGCAAATATTCATTCTGAGAAAGCTTGTGTACCGTCAAGGACACGGGAATACAGCACCCTGAGACACAGGTGCAAACCTAGGAAGCAATGTGAAATGCACATCTGAATAACTACCTACCACTCTGCATCATGGGCTCCATCCATGAATCTAATTTAGAGTTCATGGCTTCATAATTGTGCACGGTAGTAACATGCTTCAGTAACTCTAAAGTTACAATAAAGTCTAATGGCAACTGTGAAAAGACAATAAAGAATATCTGTGTTGCACAGTGAAATCATTTATCTACAAGAAATAACAGTATATACTTGTATTAAATGGAGAATACATTAGGATTAAAATACCACCTAGTTTGCATTTTTCTTAAAATGATTTAATTACATAATTCCTCACTTCCAACTTGGTAACTTTAGTGAGTCATGTCTGAATATTTATTTTCTACATATGAAGATTATTTTCTGTACTTCTAAAATGCCATGATATGGCACTGTTACATTTCTATTGATGATTATATATTTATTACCTTTTAGGACCAACAATTTCAAATACTCCTTCATACTAAAACATTATTTTACTTCAACTGCAATTTTAGTTCAAGAGAAGGCAGTGTTGTCTTAAAAACTTGGACAAGATTTTCTTTTTCTCTTACTCCAGGAAGATCACTTAACAACAAGTACTTCAGGTTTCTGCAAAGAAAGAAACAAAAAGTCACTTCAGTTTGCCCTTTTCTTTCATAGATTTTAAAATTAATTCATCTGGACAAGGTGATGCATGCCTGTAATCTCAGCTACTCAGGACGATTGCAGGTTTGAAGCCAGCTGGGCAACTTAGTGAGCTCTTGTCTCAAAATAAAAAAGGGCTAGGAATGTAGCTTAGCGCGAAGGCCCTTGTAATGAAAACAAACAAAAAGCCAAAACTGTATTCATTAACTTTTAGGAAAAATTATATACAGACTGTATTTATATCACACTATACCTTTGAAAGGACTTTTACAGCAGTTATCTTAGAGCGCTACTTTAAATGAAATTCATGCTAGGAACTAAGCCAGACTTTGAATATTACAATTTTGCTTAATTACATCAATATTTCTAGCTGAGTATTTCTATATGTATGCATGTATGTATTTGTACACACAAATACACACATATATACGTAAAAGTGCACAGATCTCCTTTGTATGTGAAGTATGAAATTTGAATCTTACTGAAAAAGGGGAAGAAATTGGGAAAGTTCTTAAAGATGTTCAAATTTCTATTAGAAGATGGAACTTTGAAGTATCAACATATGTAAGAGATAAACAATCTAATATTTTGGGGGCCTAACGTTTAAAACTTCTCAGACTTCTTGTGATACTGACGTTATTGGCAGGTAGTTACATTGTAAGTGGAACTACATTAATTAGGTTTAGAATTTAAATGACAGGACATCTCAAATAGGGATTTGATTAAACAAACACACATTCTTCATCATCCTGGTAAGACTCCCACACCTGCAATTTTAGAATTAAGCACTCCCTGCCTGTACTGTCTCCTGGCATTTGGGATAGGGTAACTTGCACCGGGAAGTTAATGAATGGCACCGTCTCTTGGGGGCAGAAAGGGATGTGGAACAGCTTTCCTAAAGCAGTGGGTGCATGCTTTCTAAATTAAGTGGCAGGCAGTGTCCTAGGCTCCAGAGACGGGCGGGTGACTGTTTTGAGGACCACCCCCTCCCCCAGAAAGTAATTCACTTACAATGTTAAATGCTAATTGGTACGTACCAAATGTCACCAGGGTACCAAAAACGTGGGGAAATGGCTTTAAAAGATGGAGGGAAACCATAACAGCTAATGCTTGCTGAGGGCTTATTGTGCCAGGCACCACACATGCTCGCTGCTTTATGTAGGGTTAATTTTTAAAAGATGTCCCTTAAAAATACAGTAAAACCTCAGTGTGTTAAAGTTGACCACTCTGAAGTATCATAAGTGGGAGCATGATCATTTTCTTGAAGTACGTTTTTCAGAACTGAAATAGACCACCACCCCTCATGTGTTTTAAACCCTGCTTATTCACCTATCACGACCAAGTTTCCATTTGGGCTTTGAGCACCTACCTTAAATGACGCAAAGCAATGATGCCCTTGTCTGTGACATTCCCACAGGAAATTATTTCCATTTCCAATAGGCTTTTCTGTAATTTTTCAAGTTGACCAAGTCTCTGCAAACAGTCATCCTCAATATAATGGCACTTGCACAATCTTATTTTCTCAACATGTTCTAGGCCCTCTGGGTGGGGAAAAAGTAGAGTTTAAGCATCTGCTTTGCCATTAAAATGACTCTCCCAGTTTCCCAGGACTGCCCTGGCTTTGGGTGTGGAATCCTGTTCACCCTACTAACCATCCAAGGTATTCACTGCAAGGTGGTGCTGGCTGAAGCCCCTGGGAAGTCAGACGCCATGAGCTGGTGGAAAGAAATGCCCACACGAGCAGAAGCTAAGGGGACAGAATTAGCCTTCCATGATCGAGGGCTTCTCAATGGCAGCTGTTTTAAAAAGATAATTTGACACAGCTTTGAACTTTAAGTCAATAAAGGGATGTAGAATGAAGCTTAAGAAGGGAAGAAAGGTGTTTATAACACCTATTCACATTGAGAATAAATACCAAACACAGGAACAAGCAAACTTGATTATCCTGCAACAGGCAAAAAGGACTAACAGACAACTGTAATCATGAGCTAGGGAAAGGCAACGGTCCCGGCAAGTCACCTCCGCTTCCTGAAAGCAAATGACAGGGTAGTTACCCATGTGGTCAAATCCAATGTTCATGATGCAGGAGTCTGTCGCATCGATCGCTTGAATCTTGTATTTGTCCAGGGCGCCGGTTGGGAGGTGGTTGTAGTCCTTCTGCCACCTCTCCTGGCCATGGTAGCGGACTGTGGCCCCACAGCGCAGCAGCCACTCGGACGCCGCCCTGTCCGGCCCAACGGTCCTGATGCGGTCATAGTCCACTCTGTTGGCGAGAGAACAGCAGCGGGTCCCTTCACCTGCAGTACGGCTTTTCAACTGTATTCGCCACCGTAAATAAGCACAGCAACAAACTTTCACGTCAGATGACTGAGGAGGGAGATGAGTGTATGAACGAGATCCATGAAAATGCAAACACCTGAGCTCTACCTGCTAACTTCTTGTTTCTGTCTCCAGGTAATCTCTGTCAAGTCATATATTTTTTTAAAAAACATGTTTGGTGGTGATGGGGATCAACCCCAGGGTCTCTCACACGCTAGGTAAATGTTCTACCACTGAGCTACACTCCCAGTCCTGAGGCTTATTATTATTATCTGAAATGGTACTGGGGAGTGAACCCAGGGCCTTTTCACTGAGCTGCGCCCCCATGTCTCGCCACTCTTTTTTTTTTTTAATTTTGAGACAGGGCCTGGCAAAGTCATGAAGTTGCCCCAGCTAGTTCAAACTTGTAATCCTCCTGCCTCAGCCCCTCCAAGTGCAGACGATAGGAATGCATCGCACGCCCAGCTTCTGAGGTATATTATTTTTATGAGTTTGTCAGGGAGACAGAGGTCCATACGAACCATTAGTTCATATGTTGCACAGCGCTAGACACCAGACACTACTTAGTAACTAAGCAGCGACTGAATGACTACTTAGCTAGCTTTTTTGTTAATAAAAGGTTAAAGAGGGAATAATTTGGGACCCATTTTCAAACTTCTCTCCTTAAATGATATTTATTCATTTCTACATATGCCTTTTTCTCTGGCCAGCAATCAGAACATCATATTCACAATGAAGATCAGTTACATCAGTTTTAAAATAGTATTTCTGAGCATACCACCCATTCATTTTTAAAAACTTGAGTTTTCTTGGTAGTAGTCAAAACCCTAACAACATTCCTTAAGAAGCAATAGAATAAAATATTTTGACCGGGCGTGGTGGCGCATGCCTGTAATCCCAGCACTTGGGAGGCTGAGGCAGGAGAATCGTTGTGAGTTTGAAGCCAGCCTGGGCTACAAAGTGAGCTCAAGGTCAGCCTGAACTGCCTGGGGAGACCCTGTCTCAAAAAGACCAAAAAATAAAATAAAATAAAATATTTTGAAATTGCTAAGTTCTTCTGATCATAAAATAATGTGTTCATTTTTAAAAACCTGAAAGCCATCAAAACAACAAATAAGAAAAATCACTAGGATACTGAAACCTAGACAACCACAGTTTAAATTTCGTATTCTTATGATTCTTTTTTCCAAGTGTGCTTTATATACATTGTTAAAAATTTTTTTTAAATGTAAGAAACAACCAAACTTGCCTTTGGGATCTCAGCTAGCTGTAATCACCCCACACTTCTTCATTTTAGTTAGAGTAACTTACTTATTAAACACTGTATTCAGCCAGCCCCAGAAGGATCTGGAATCACATGACCATGGGAGTTTCTTTAAACCGCACAACTGCTGGGAAATTTTTCCAAACAGCATCGTTTGATCTAGACACACAAAACAGTACTCACATTAGATCACCAGCTGGCAACCGGAGACCCACACATACAGCAACTTACTCCACAACTTCAGCCGATGCTTTTGTGCCAACAGAGCTGTTGGTTCACTTACCGCTCAAAAATTACTGAGCAAGTCACTCCCGTCTCAAGTTCTTGGTTTTTCTGTGTCTTCTTTTCTTGCAAAAACGAGGGCTTGGCCTCCAGTGTCTAAGGCCCCTTCCAGCATCAGGTCCCATTGTTCAAACCCTAACTGGAGTGGGCTGTTGCCACCTAGTGTCTGTTCAGGCAGTGTAGCTACAAATTTGCTCAAACTAGTTGTACCCTCAATCTAGTTCCAGTATGAAAATGACAAATTGCAATCACTTAGGAAGCAATGTGCTGAGATGCCTATATCCCAAAAGGCGAGGATTCATGAAAGATCGACTTATGATAAAGGTCTACTGACGACAGCTGCTCATAGGGTCACCGGGACAGAAGAAAGAACTGCAAGGGCAGCTGGGAAGGTCTAGCCAAGTAACTCCACCTCTCTGATCCTGGGTTTGCTCCCTTATAAAAGATTTGCTCAGATGATTTCCAGCTGTGAAAAATCTATAAGCATGGGCAGAGAAAGTGATGTATGAATATGATTTATCTCAATTCAGATTTCTCTAATAGCATGCTCGGTATGCACAGCAAAACAAAGATAAATGAAATATCACCTCTCCCTTTGGGAATTAACAATTTAATGCAGGATAGAGTGGCCCAAGACAAGTCATCAAGTAGTTAAATGGCAGGATGATAAAGCCTCAAAGGAGTTAAAATAAGGACAGAGAGGATTTCAACAGACAAAGATGCCAGGAAAAGTTATGCTAGGCCATTAGCCAAGGCAGGAAAATGTGAGGCATATCGTACATCGGTTTGGTTAGCAGACAGGAGTCATGAGAAGACGCAGGCAAGGGCCTTGCATGTCCTGCCAAGGAATTTGGACTGTATTCTGAGGGCAGCTGGGAGTCACTGAGGTTTTAGCACAGAGTACCGGCCCTGTCGCAGCTGTGCTTCAGGAAATGTACTCAGACAGCAGCCTCAGGGTCAAGCCCTGAGGTGGCAGGAAGATTGTTTGAGCCCAGGAATTTGAAGCTAGACTGGGCGACACAGTCTTAAAAAGTTGAAGGTCAACAGAAAGGGACAGAAACAGCCAGCAAGGGAATAAGGTCTTCAACCTCATGGGGCCGCAGGAAAGGGCCTAGAACGAGAAAGGCGGGAATGACATTACAGTTAGAGTCCATGCAGCTCGGTAAGCGAGGTGTTGGGAAAGGCTGGAGGAGTTGAAGGTAGGTTTTGGTGCTGGGTCACAGGTAGGATAGCAATGCCGCTGACAGAAATCCACATCAGCAGGACAGAGTTGTTGGCGCAGTTTGTTTGGTTCTCTTTCAGTTTCTAAACATAAAGTGCTGTCATCTCCTAAGTGGAGAGGACAAAAAATCATTAGACTCAAGAGTCACAAAGTGACTGGAAGGAACTCCGATCACCTCAGACTAAGCTTTTCATTTAGATATGAGGAAACTGAATCTCTGATATTAAGTAACTCGCTGACACCCGAAATCCTTTCTGGAACAAGATGGGGCATGAACACATGCATGTATTTAAAGGGACTTGCTCAATGTCTCATAGCTAATTGGTGTCAGTGCTGAAACTTGAACCCACTTCTCTCTCCTACAGTCTGGGGCCCTCTCCTCAATCAGTGGATGGTTCTAGAATTCAAGAGAAAGAAGATGACTAAAAAGATGCCTGAGAGGGAGCCACTCAAGAGCCAATGAGAGGGGGCTGGGGATTTAGCTCAGCGGCAAAGCGCCTGCCTGGCAAGCGCAAAGTTGTGAGTTCGATTCCTGGTACTGGAAGAAAAACAAAAAAAAAACAAAAACAAAAACAAAAAACAAAAAAAGAGCCAAGGAGGTGACTGAGCACACTGAAGGAGTGGAACTTGAGAGATTAAGCCTGAGCACAGAACCTGGGAGGCACCTACTGTGCTTCAGTTTTTTTCTTTCCCCTTCTGTCCTCTTTATTCCCTCCCTCCAGCTCTCTCCTATCCCCAGTGCTGGGGATGGCACCCAGCGCCTTGGATGTGCTAGATAAACACTTTGCCACCATGTTATTTTTCCCGCTCCGGATCCTCTTTCCATCAGCACCGCAAACCCCTGCCCACCACCTCACGGCCTCAACCCTTCTCAGCTTTCTGCTGAAGCTCTTTCTGCCTATGCCCACCTGTAATACCTCCACTGCCTGTCAACCTCACTTGTAAACCTGGGCTTTTCCCAACTTGTCTTCAAGTAGTTCCCTTTATTTACCTGACCTCCAACCCTGTCTGTGGAAATCCCACCCAACCTCAAAACTTACTCAAAACCCAAGTCCAAAGCCGGGCATGGTGGTGCACACCTGTAATCCCAGCATTTGGGAGGCTGAGGCAGGAGGATTATTGTGAGTTCGAGGCCAGCCTAGGCTACAAAGGGAGCTCAAAGCCAGCCTAAACTGCATAGCGATACCCTGTCTCAAAACAAAACAAAACAAAATGAAAATCCAAGTCCATCTACTCATATTCACTTTATGTTTACTGGATATCTGTTATAACTAGTGCAAAAGAAACAACGGAAAGCTAAAACAACAACAGAGGAGAAAGAGACCCAGAGAGATAAAGGCCTGGTTCCTGTCCTTGAAAATACAGTTTAATGAAGCAGGCAGATGACATGTAAAGAGAAGAATAATATCTAGAGTGACATCTCACTAGAGGTGTGAACACGTGCCATGAGAGCCTAGGAGAGGGGGTGAGGCTCCACACCAAAGGTATCTTTTGGGATGTCTTAAAATAAGACTTAAGAGTTCTAAATTAGGAAGAAAAAACGTACTTGGAGCAAAGGGAAGTGCAAAGACCACCTCTTACTCATTTCATTGTTCTCAGTATAACGCAAAAGTTTAATAAATACTGTCAATACTCTTCAATGGTTGGCATATCCCCACGGATAAGTCAAGCCAGAGAGAGTGTTATTCAGCAAGTGAAACAGCACTGTCTTTTTTTTTTTTAAATGAAGAACAAATTTTATTTTAAAAATAGAATTCAGTAACAATGAAAAAACAGCATTGTCTTGAAAACTGAATACCTCCAGCTGTTTCATTTTGGCCCACTTTATAATTCAGTTTAAAAGCAAAGCCAGATTCAGCTTAGCCATGAGCTCCAAAGCCACTAGATATTGTATTTAAAATAAAACATGAAATTTACACTTGGAAATAAAGGTTAAAAATAGTGGGTTTTCATATTCTCAACTGCAACTCTGCTGAGATTTGGAAAATGTATTGTTTGAGTCGAGGCCCCTATCTCTGGGAATGCTTTCCACGGGGAAAGGAGACCTCTAGTGGTGACCTCTGAACTTGGCTCTAACAAAGGGAGAGAAAGCAATTAAAAGTAAACTTGAAAATAACCATTACTAAATTACTGGTGCCATAAATAATACAGGGATTCAAACTATGGAAGGAAAAAACCTCACCAAGCTTCTTACTATTAGAACTTTGTTTAGAATTGTAAGTTTGTAACAGTGTTTTTAAAAGCTGCGTTATGTTTGTGACTTAGGTAAGGACAAACCTCTAGTGGATTACTCAAAATAGGATAGCTTCAAAGTGCTATCTGAGTAGATTTGATTGAATTTTTTGAAAGTGAGGGTTATCAAGTTATAGATTAAATGCAGTGATAGAGTGGGCTGTTTAAAGTGATGCCTAAACCGGCACACACTGAACTAGTTTCTGAACTAGTTTGGAGATGGGGGTGGGGACATCAGACTGAGGGAGATTTTTCCCTAATTACAACCCCACCTCACCATAAAATCACCCACTGTTGATTCTTATATCTTACTTTTCACCTTACTCTTATTCTTTAGATATGTTAACACCTCATTCTTCAGTTATGTGGATTCATCAAATGAGACAGAACAGAGCAATTCATCAGGGATTCTAAGCAAAGTTCCTAAAAAGCCATTCTTAGGCCGTCAAATGGCACCCACTGAGGTAACTTCTCCTAGGTTCCGGCCTGCAAGGGAAGATGGTGAACCTGAGTTCTCAACTGAGGAGAATCACGTCAGGAATACAGACGCCTCTTCCCACAGACATTACCGGGCATATGAATGCAAGATGGGCTCTTGATTTAAATTACTTGATTCAAACAAACCATTCTACAAGCCTGGGGGTGGGAGTGGGCCATGGGAGAAAACTTTACAAAAAGAGCCTGTGCAACGGGTTTGTTCTTTTACCCTTGCGAAAGTAAGACATATATGCTCAAAATCACACAGCAATTTTAAAAAATACTGTGGGTCCATCTGGCCCACAATACCCTGATCATAGACCTTGAGAGTATATAATTTTGTATTTCATCTATCAAATTAACTATACCTGTGCACACTTAAAAAAAACCTTTATGACATGCCTATCAAAATAGTTCAAATAAACCATTAGTGACAAAACCAAATCCTGGTGACAATGAGGACAAACTGGATCAAACTTTGCTGGTAGGTATGTAAAATAATTCAGTCACTCTGGAAAAGTTTGGCAGTTTCTTTCAAAATTAAACATAAGCTTACCAGATGACCCAGTAACTGGACTCTTGAACACTTATTTAGAGAAAGAAAAACATGGCCACACAAAGATATACACTAATGGTCAAAATAGCTTTATTTATGACACCTAAAAGCTGAAACAACTTGAATGGCTTTTAATGGATGATTAAACACACAAGTACTTTGTGACTATGGAATGCTACCCAGAAATAAAAAAGAAATGAACTATTGATACCTACAATAATTTGGATGAATCTCAAGTGCAAAAGACCAAGAGTTAAGAATTTCATACTGTATAATTATAACCTAAAATGACAAAGGAAGAAAGATTGGTGGGAGGGCTACAGCAGAAGTTGTGGTTATGAAAGGATATCTAGAGAAATTCTTGGGATGGAACTGTAGTATATCTTGCTAGTGACAGTAGATACAAGATGACAATTTACAGAACATGATCATAACTTACAGAACTAAATGCAAACACAACAATATAAAACTCAGAAATCTGAGTAAGTCTGTGTCAATGTCAACTGCCTGGTTGTGTTACTGCACCATAGTTTTACAAGTTGTTATCACCTAGGGAGATGGATAAAAGGTACACAGAAACTCTATTTAATTTCTCACACTGAATGGGAATCTACAATTATGTCAACATAAAACGGTGAATTTTATTTAATTTTTTGTCTTTTTTTGAGACAGGGTCTCACTATGCAGTTCACACTAGTCTCGAACTCAAAACGGTCCTTTTGCCTTAGCCTCCCCAGTACTGGGATTACAGGCATGAGCCACCACGCAGGGCTCAACGCTTAATTTAATTTAATTTATTTTTTTTTTATTTATTTTTTTTTTGGTTTTGGTTTTTCTCCGGTACCGGGAACCGAACTCACAACGTTGCGCTTGCCAGGCAGGTGCTTTGCCGTTTATTTATTTATTTATTTTTTTGGTTTTGGTTTTTCTCCGGTACCGGGAACCGAACTCACAACGTTGCGCTTGCCAGGCAGGTGCTTTGCCGCTGAGCTAAATCCCCAGCCCATGAATTTTAAAAATAACCATTTTTTGCCAGGCATGGTATCACACACTTGTAATCCCAGCACTATGGGAGCCTGAGGCAGCCTGGGCAATTTAGCAATTTAGGGAGACCCTGGTTTTGTGTTTGTGCGTGTGTGTGAGAGAGAGAGGCATTGTATGTGTGTGTGTGAAAGAGAGAGACGTGTGTGTGTGTGTGTGTGTGTGTGTGTATGCGTGTGTGAGAGACAAAAACAAGCATTTTTTCATTGTGGTGGAGAGAGATTGTGTGTGTGTGTGTGTGTGTGTGTGTGTGTGTGAGATAGAGAGAGAGAGAGAGAGAGAGAGAGAGAAAGAGAGAGAGAGAGAGAGGGATAGAGACAAAAACCATTTTGTTTTCATTGTGGTGGAACAGCAGGTAATATTCCACTTTTTTCCCCTCCACAGATAAAGCAAAAATACAGACTACTGTCATTGTGATAAAAACTGTCATTTACCTAACACTTCACTGTGATCAGCTTCCGAAGGGGCCCAGCTGGTGTAATGGGGCCAGTTCACAGAGCAAGGTCTAAGACAGAGGTGACAAGCGATTGGAACCAAGATGCAAAAAGACAAGCTCTTCCAGCGAAAGTTTGATCGTTCTAGCTTAGTTCTGTTTAGCTGTCTTGACCTTAAGTATTAAAAACCGCCACCAAGCAAACACTGGGTATTACGACGGCACGATGACAAGAGGCATGTAACCTTAGAGCTATAAGGCCCTTCGGAGAGAACAGGCCCCCCGCCTTCATCTGACCGATAAGCAATCAGGGGACGAGCCTGCAGCTGGCGCGCTGCTCCGAGCCCGGACGGAGTATTTAAACTGTATCTCGGCCCAGGATTTAAGAGAAGGCCCCGATTGCTAAGCGATGGCCGAGGCCCCGCTGTTTAGCTCATCCAGAACCCAGTGCCCGGTGCAGAGGAGCAGGGGCCGGTATTTGCAAGGTGAACCGGTAAGTGATCGGGGGCACCGCCCCGAGCCGCATCGGGAGAGGCCGCGGCTGCGCGGGACGGGGCCGAGCGGACGGGACGCCGCCGGCCCGCGGAAAGAGCGTTTCCGCCGCAACAAGCCCAGACTTTCTCCGCGACCTCTGTCCGTTCAGCGGTGAAAGTCTACACAGCGCCAGGTTTTCAGTCGGCGCAGCTCGGGACACGGGACCAGGGCAGAGCGTTACCACCACCCAGCCCCGCCCCGCGCGGGGCCTAAGCCGCCCTACTCACGGCGTCGCTGGGAGGGAGCGAGCGAGCGTCCGTGCGTTCCCGCGTCGACGTCGCGCCGGCCTGCCCTTCGCCCTCCCCTCGCGCTCCCATTGGCCAGCGGCGCAGTCCTCGCGTGGGGCGAAAGCGTGCGCCTCATTGGTTCCCCGCAGGGGGCGGGGCCAGGGAGCGGCGGGATCCGCGTAGAGTTCAAGTGGCCGTCCTTGGGGGCAGGGAACGGGAGGGGGATCGCAGGCGATGGTCTCGGCGCTGCGTTTCTTGGGTGGCGCCTGCGCACGGGCCCGCGGGGCGTCCCCCGGGGGCTTCCCCCGGGCGAGAGGGCCGGCGCCCGGGAGGCCCTGGCCGCTGTGCGGGGGTGTCCGCAGCGGCAGCACCAGGTGAGTGGCCGCTAACGCGACCCCGCCGCCTGCGCCGCTGCGTCTCCCGAGGTGCCTCGCGCTGGACCCGGGCCCCCGCTCGTCCTGCCGGTGCCGGGCGTGAGCGGAGGCGGGGGTCCCAGCCCTGCCGCCCTGCTGGGTGCACCCGGGCATTTATGGGTCGCAGGAAAAAGCCGAGTTCTGTAGAGGTCAGCGGCGGGTCTGGCTTTGCATTCACCCCTGCACGCACTGTTCAGCCGTGGGCGGCTGCTCAGCCTCCTGGAAGGCTCAGTGGTGAAAAGGTTCTTAGTCTACCGTAAGGTGGCCCTTTTGAGGGAAAAAGGCCAGCGCACTCGAGCAAATATGCAGCGTATTAGCTGGCATCCCAGTGTTGGCTTGGAAGATCCGGCGCTGGGCTTACACCGATCAGTTCCTGGCACACTGCGTAGAACTGTCCCTGTGAGAAGTAGCCACCAAAGCCTGCAAAATTCAGTGCCCTAGGCCGGGCGTGGTAGCGCACGCCTGTAATCCCAGCATGCGGGAAGCTGAGGCAGGAGGATCACCTCGAGTTTGAGGCCAGCCTGGACTGCATGGTGAAACCCTGTCTCAAAAAAAAACAAACAAAAAAAATCAGTGTCCTGTAATTTGAAATTTGGAGGTCATGTGCAAAACCAGTCTCTTTTCCTCTCTGGAGGGGACAGTTTAGGTGAAGGCGCTTGGCTGGAAAGCTTTTTCTATTTTGAGGACTAGGGTGTGGGCAGTGAGTGTAACTGGAATTTGGTGGGGTCTAAAGGTGTAGAACGCGGAGTTTAAATTTTAACCACACACTAAATTTTATTCTTTTTTGTTTTAACCTTTTTTTTGTATCGGGAACCTAACTCAGGACCTTTCGCTTGCCAGGCAGGCGCTTGCACCACTGAGCTATATCCCTGGCCCCTTGAATTGTATTGTAAGAGCCTTGATAAGCTATATAAAAGGTTTTGAGACGGGGAAGGGATTAAATATTGGTGTTTGAAAAGTTGACTGTGGCACTCAGTGAATTGGAAAGGGATCGGAGTGAGACACTAGTAATAAATTCCTGAGATTCCTTGTGCGGTATGTAGATAATTCTTTTGGGAATCTTAAGGGGAAAAAAAAAGTACGTCTAGGAGAAGCTTTGTTTATACTTTTTATTTTCAAATAAATACAAATCCATAGTAAGTTGTAAAAAGAGAAGTTTTGTGTGCCCTTGGCCTCATTCACCCCAAGGATACCTTGGTACAAAAACAGAAAATTTGCTATTGGCACAATCCACAGACCTTGTTAAGATTTCATCAGTTTTACATACACTCATTTGTGTGTATGGTTCTATTCAGTGTAATCATGTGTTAATTTTTGTAACCACCCCCTCAGTTAAAACACAGAATGGGCCTGGGGATATAGCTCAGCAGCACAAGCGCCTGCCTGGCAAGCGCAAGGTCCTGAGTTCGATTCCTGGTACCCCCCACACACCAAAAAAAAGATACAGAAATGTTCTGCTGACACAGGTAACCCTTGTGTTAACCTATCCCTGCCTCTCCACCCTTCCTAACCTTTGGTAGCCACTAATCCTTTCTCCATTACTATAACTTTGTCATTTTGAGAATGCTATACACGTGGAATACAACATGTAACCTTTTAAGATTGATTTTTTTTCACACAGCTAATGCCCTTGAGATCAGTCCAAAGTGTTCGCAGTATTGGTAGCGGAATTACATTTTTCATTGTTGAACAGCATTCTATGGTATAGGTGTATCGCAATTTGTTTAACCTTCCATCAGTTGAAGGACATCTGGGACTATTTCTGATTTTTAGGTATTAAGAATGCAAGCTGCTATGAACACTCATGTACAGATTTTGGTGTGAGCACAGGCTTTCATAAATACCCAAGGATGTGGTTGCTTAATCATGTACTAAATGCATGTGCTGTTTTGTGGGGTTTTTTTTAAAAAGAAAGTTACTTTCCTAGCAAGTTGGGTGTGGTGGCGCACGCCTGTAATCCCAGCACTCAGGAGGCTGAGGCAGGAGAATCCTTGCGAGTTCGAGACCAGCCTGGGCTACAAAGTGAGCTCAAGGCCAGCCTGAACTGCATAGTGAGACCCTGTGTCAAAAAGACAAAAACAGAAAGAAACTTACTTTCCAGAGTGGCTGTACTGTTTTACATTTCCACCAGCGATGTGTAAGTGATCCGGTTCCTCCTCATCCTCACCAGTCTGTGGTGCTACTTTTTTGTAGCCGTCTGCTAGAGGCATAGCGATTGCTCATTGCAGTTCTAATTTGCATTTCCTTAATACAGCAGAGTTTAAACAATGGAGCACCTAATGGTGTTGGTCATATTTTCCTGTACTTATTTGCCATCTGTAGATAAAATATTTGTTTATATCTTTGCCCATTTTCTAAATGATTGTATGAGATATGATCAAAATATATGGTGAATGTTTAAATTTTTAAAAAGTTTATTACAGAAAAAGATGCATTGCTACTAATTCCCCTCCAGATACTCCTGCTCACTTCAAATACGCTTATCCCAGCATTCTTGCCAATGTGTCTATATTATGATAAGTTGTGTTTTTTTGTTGTTTTTTTGTTTTTGGTCTTTTTGAGACAGGGTCTCGCTATGCAGTTCAGCCTGGCCTTGAGCTCACTTTGTAGCCCTGGGTGGTTTTTTTTTTTTTGTCTTTTTGAGACAGGGTCTTGCTATGCAGTTCAAGCTGACCTTGAGCTCACTTTGTAGCTCAGGCTGGTCTTGAACTCGCAATGATTCTCCTGCCTCAGCCTCCCTGCCTCAGCCTCCCAAGTGCTGGGATTACAGGCATGCGCCACCACACCCGGGTTATAATAAGTTTTTTTAAAAATGTAAACATTCACATATCTCTTGATTACTCCTTGCAGTTAGCTTGGCCCCTTTGTTTTGAGAGTTCTTTACATGTTGTAGGTATGAGTGCTTGGTCAGATATATAGCTGCAAGTATTTTGTCCCAGTCTGTTGATTTTCTTAAAGTCCTATTTATCATTTTTTCCCTTTCTAGGGCATGCTTTTGGTGTCAATACTAAGCCCCAAAGATTTTATCACATTTTCTGAATAATGGGTATAAAATTTATTGTTAATTTTATTTCATTACAGTAATAGAGGTTGGGTGTGTCTTTAAAGAGGCCTTTAGAAATAACATTGAAGCTGGGGAGGCCAGCCTGGGCTACAAAGTGAGTGCAAGGCAAGCCTGAACTGCATGACAAAAGCTTGTCTCAAAAAAAAAAAAGAAAAGAAAAGAAATAACATTGAAATACTTACAGATGAAGTAATCTGATGTTTCCTTTGCATTAGAATATGAGTGGGTGAAATAGGTGGGGTATAGAAGAAGCAAGATTTGCAAGAGTTGATGATGGTTTAACTTAGGTGATGTATATGCAGGAGTTTGTTGTATTAGTCTGTACATCTTTGTGTATGTGTGAAGTTTTTCATGATTAAATCTTTTAAAAGTTATCCGTTAAACTGCTTATTGGTGTAGGTTTGAGATTAAGTGAATTGTGGAGAGAAATGCCCCCTTCAGCCTGAAGATGTCCCCAGTGTTCACCTGGGACTTGTCCTGAGCCCTTCCTCCTGTAGTGGATACTTGAGGGTTTGTCCTTCAGTCTGTGGAGCAGATGTCAATAATTGCACGTTACTTTATAGAAGAGGGATTCTTCAGATTTAAGGAGGAGTAAAGAATGACACATGTGGTTGAAAAAACATACTCAGTATGATAATTTTATGTTTAAAAATAGTTTATTGATGGTTATAATCTGCAAAGACAAGAGCCAAGGTAAAATTTTTTGTATGGAAGGCAGCAACGAAGTAGTGACTCTCAGTGGAGAGTCTACTTCACCAAAAGGCAACTGACCAGAGGCAGCAAGGAAATCAAGACGTAGGAGTCAAGACTGCTCCAGCAAAGGCGAGGGTTATGCTGCTTTTTTAAGAAAATGAGGCTTGAAAGCCAATCAACGGATCATAGCTACACTTGAAAGTAAAAAGAGTTTGAAAGTTCTGTCTCTTTCTGAAACACACACATCCCTCTTCCTTTTGTGGACTTACTTGTTCTTATGGGACAGTAAACCTGTTAGAGCTTTCAGTGATAAAAACGAAATAAAACAAAACCAAAAAAACAAACCAGCCTGCTGCAGCACGCATGCCATAGGTTTGCCAGCACTGCTACAGGAAATATGTGTGTATGTATGTATGTATGTATATATCTCGTGCTGGGGATCAAACCACAGATTTTTTTTTTCCCCATCTTTTTGAGACAGGGTTTCACTGTGCAGTTCAGGCTGGCCTTGAACTCACTTTGTAGCCCACGCTGGCCTCAAACTTAGGGCTGTCCTCCTGCCTCACCCTCTTAAGTGCTGGGATTACGGGTGTGTACCACCATGCCCAGCCTCTTCTGGAATTTTTTTTTTTTTTTTGGTTTTTTTCCCGTACCAGAAATCAAATCACGACCTTGCACTTGCCAGGCAGGCCCTGTGCCGCTGAGCTAAATCCCTAGCCCTTCTTCTGAAATTCTTAAAAGCCAAGTTTTTTAGATTGCATAATGGATCTGATTATTGTGAAAGTTATGTAAGGCACAATGGTTAATAAATTAGTGACAGTAACTACAGAGGAATGTGAGTGCTTTACCTCTTACCTAGGGTAGCATATTTTTTTAAAACCTATTTAAAGCCGTGGACTTTCATGTATACTCTGATCATACTAACAATTTTCCAATTGACCACTGCAAACATTTGCCAGTAACTATGATTAATGTAGTGGGGCGAGAACCCTATTTCACTTATGCTGCTTTTTAAAATACCTTTCTTGGTGTTTTTGTTTGGTTTGGTTTGGTTTGGTTTGGTTTTTGGTTTTTTTCCAGTACTGGGAATCAAACTCACGACTTTGTGCTTGCCAGGCAGGTGCTGTGCCGCTGAGCTAAATCAAATCCCAGCCCCTAAAATACCTTCCTTAATTGCGCTCATTGTTCATTTATCCAGCTATCTAAAGGTGCTGCAGGGGAGAAGCACCTGTTGTCTGCCAACTGAAGGCTCTTCCTGTCCAAACTATGATGCTGGCACCAAAGGAGGGAACTTTGCGCACTTGACCACCAAATTAACTTAAGGTGCAGGATTTGCTTTATCAAGCTCACATGTTGGTCCCTAGCTGTTTGGGAGCTGTTGCTAGTACCAAATGTAGCCATAGACAAGGTAACACTTGCAGTCAAATTAATGTACTTCTACTAAGGATTTTGAAATTTAAACCTCAAGCACTGTAAAGGATCTAACCTGATACTTTCTTGCTACTGTCCCTGTAAGACAGATTTTAATCAGGTAAATGTGTTGTATTAGGAGGCCAGTGCTAACGGTCATCTTTTAAGCTTCTTTCTGTAGAATTAGATATATACTATTTATAATTTATACCATTTATAATTTTAGAAACAGTTGTATAATTGGTGTTTCTTATGGCTACGATTGCAGATTTGTGCATGTTCTGGACCAGTGTTCTTAAGGTTTGATGATCTCACTATTTCCTTCTCAACAGGGGGAAAAAAATATATATATAAATTCTGACACACTCAAGTGTTCTTAATATGTTAGCCTATCCTCAAGAATACTACATTTGAATTTTAAAGGATAGTGTAAAGCGATAGTTTTAAAGTGTGATGCTTAACATAAAGCAACTAGTGATGTCTGTGGCCCAGTGGATGCTATAGAGACACGGTACAGGCTTGGCTACCAGCCATCGTCCCTGCCTCTGGGCCGTCCCCAATTAACTGAGCAGCAGTGCATGTAACTTTTAAAGGTTCATTTCTGAAACCACATAGCACAAAGCCCAGTGCATACTTGATTTTAATTATTACACCTTAGTAATTTAATTGTCCATTGGTGATGCAAATTATACACGTGACATTTGGTGGGATCTCCCGTAAACATGCAGCTCTTTAAAGATCACTTTCTCTTACAGCTCATTTGACATAGTCGTTGTGGGCGGTGGAATTGTGGGGCTTGCCTCTGCCAGAGCACTCATCCTGCGACATCCTGCACTTTCCGTTGGCCTCCTGGAAAAGGAGAAAGATTTAGGTATGTATGTTGTCGGCGGTGCTTTTCTGGTTTGCTTGGGCACTAGCTCCTTTTGTCAGTTCTGACCAGTCATGCAGTACTTTCTTTAGTATCTTATTTTGGGTTCTCCTGAAAGCCGAGCAGGGACAAGGACTTGGGTGCGGGTGATTTATGTGACCGTGATCCAAGCAGGCAGGAAGGAGTGAGTGGATGGGAGAGTAAGACAGGGAAGGAGGACACGCCATGTGAGGATGTATTGTTAGCGCTGCTGCTGGGGGCTCGGTTCCATTGTGACCTGTGAGGAACGGTGCAGTGTTTCCCAGGATTGAGCTCAGGTATCCATCAGCTCCTGTCTCTCTTGACTGATTATTTTCTTTACAGTGTTGAAACTTCCCTCCAAAAGATAGAAAAGGCCCCGGGTCAGGGTATGGAGATCCTCGTGGGCCCTTGAAGTGGTTTGCTGGGTAAAAAGAGGTGCTTTTGTAATCCAGAGTTGCAGCTGGAATCAGAGATGGGTGGGAGCGTTGTGACTTGGATGCAGGGAAAGCTGCAGTGGAAGTTCCCAGCGGTCTGAGTAAACTCAGTCAGGGTCTGATTGCTCCAGCTGCAATTGCTCTCTCACCTCTTAGGTTTTGTATGAGTCATGTAGTTTCTCTTACCCTGTTTTTCTTGTTCTATAGCTGTTCACCAGACTGGACATAACAGTGGTGTCATACATAGTGGAATTTATTATAAACCTGAATCCCTGAAAGCTAAATTATGTGTACAAGGTGCCACTCTCATCTATGAGTATTGTAACCAAAAGGGAATTTCCTACAAGCAATGTGGCAAGGTACGGCATTTTATTTGGGACTTGACTAATTTATAACTAGCATTTTTAAAATCTGTTACTGGGGATTGAACCCAGGGTCTTTCCACTGAGCTAGGTCTCTAGCCCTTTTTATTTTTTATTTTGAGACAGGTTCTCACTAAGTTTTCCAGACTGGATAGGAACTTGCCATCCTCCTGCCTCAGCTTCCCAGAGTGGTGGGATTACAGGCAAGGGCCTCCATGGCTGGCTTATAACTAGCATTTTCTTACTGATGTTTAATTTTGAATTTTTAAAAAATCTGTTATCTTCTGCTTTTGTATCTACATAATTTGTGAAATCTTTTATTAGGGAACAAAAACCCAAGATGACGTGACTTCATGTTACTGGAAAAATAATGCTATTGATACATAATTCATACTTTTAAAGTGGGTAATTCACTTTTTAGTATATTCACAATTCAGTTTTTGGTATATTTGCAAACATCACCACTATCTAATTTTAGGATTTTCTAATCCCCAGGAAAGAAACCAGTTAGCAGTCACCACACCCCCTTTTCCATCTCCCCTGGCCCTCTAGCAACTACCAATATATTTTCTGCCCTTATAAATTTGACTATTTTATATACTTTATATAAATAGAGTCATATCAAAGTGTCTTTTCATGTGGTCTCTTGTGACTGGTTTCTTTAGCTTAGCATAATGTTTTCAAAGCTCATCCATCTATTAACATAAATCACTACTTCATTCCTTTTGGTGGCATAGTAAAATTCCATTGTATGGATATTCCACATCTGTTCACTGGTTGATAGGCATTTCAGTGCTTTTGTATTATGAATAGTGCTATGGACATGTATGTAGAAGTTTTTATGGGAACATGCTTTCATTTCTCATCAATATGTACCTAGAAGTGGAACTATGAGGTTGTATGGAAACCCTGTCTTTAACATTTTGAATAACTGCCAAGATGCTTCATTATGTTGCATTTCTACCAGTAATTAATAAGAATTCAAGTTTCTCCATATCATCATCAACACCTGTTGTCTAGTATTAACCATTGTACTAGTAGTATCTAGTATTCGCCAGTCTACTACATATGCAGTTGTAACTCATTTTTTATTTGCATTTGCCTAATGATTAATGACAAAACATCTTTTCTTTTTAGTTTATTTTTAATTGACAAAGAAAAATTATGTATATCATGTAGAACATGTACATGTGAATATGTACATGATAACCTGATTATGTACACAATAATATAGCCATTGCGGAATTACTACATTTAGCTAGCAAACCTATGTACCACCTCACATATTTATCTGTTTTTATGCTGAAAACACTTAAAATCTCTCTTAACATCTGTAAGGATACAATACATTGGCCAGGAGCAGTGGCGTACGACTGTATCCCAGCCCCTTGGGAGGCTAAGGCAGAAGGACTGCAAATTCAAAGCCACCCTGGACAACTTAGCAAGACCCTGTCTCAGAATTAAAAGGAAAAGGGCTGAGGATAGAGCACCCATGGCTTCCGTCCCAGTACCACACATACATTGTCAGTAATTATAGTCACCATACTGCACAGTGGCTGTCCTGAGTTTACTACCCTGTCTGACAGATTTTGTGTTCTTTAACCATCATCTCTCCAATCTCCATCCACTCCTACTACCCACTAGTAACCATCATTCCGCTCTGCATTTATTAACTGAGTTTTTTTTAGATTCCACATACAAGTTAAAACATGCTATTCAACATAACATCCTTGAGGTTCATTTTTGTTGCTACACATGACAGAATTTCCTTCTTTTAAGCTGAATAGTATCCCATTGTATACGTTTACTACATTTTCTTTATTTGTCTACTGATAGACACTTAGGTTGATTCCATGTCTCGGCTGTTGTAAACAGTGCTGCTAGTGAATAGGTGTCTCTCTGACATACTGATTTCATCTAGTTGTATGTCCAGTTGTGGGCTTGCTCTGTCTATTTTAAGTATCTTTTCTTATTGGCCATTCATGTAGCTTCTTTAGAGAAATGTGTGTGCAAACCTTTCACTCATTTTTAAATTGGGCTGTATGTTGTTTCATTGTTGAGTGGTATATACTCTGTGTATTCTGGGTACAGGGTATAGTAATCCCCTCTTATCCTCAAGGGATACATTTCCAGACTCTCCCTGAAATTCTGGAAACATCTAATAACCCTGAACCCAACCTATACTGTGATATTTCCTATGCATACATCCTAGTGATAAAGTTTAATGTAAAAACTAGTCATAGTGACAGATGAGCAACAATAAGTAATGAAAAGGAACCGTTATAACAATGTATGTTAATGAAAGTTATGTGCTATGGTCTCTTTTTTTGTTGTTGTTTTTTTGTTTTTTTGTTTTTCTCCGGTACCAGGAACCGAACTCATGACCTTGCACTTGCCAGGCAGGCGCTTTTGCCACTGAGCTAAATCCCCAGCCCCTCTCTCAAACATTGTACTGTTCTGTACTTGCCCCTCTTGTGATGATGTCACGTGATGCTTTCTAGCCTCACTACTCCTGTACTTTGGGGCCATTGTTAAGTCAAGTCGGGATCACTTGAGCACTCACAGTGCAGCAGTGTGGTCAATCTGATATCTGCAGTGGCTACAAAATGACAAACGGTGGGCAGTGCGTACAACCTGGGGATGCTGGACAGAGGGGTGATTCCTGTCCCAGGCGAGATGGCGTGGAACACTGCAGGATTTCACAGTGCTACTCAGATTGGCATGCAAGTTAAATTTTATGAAGTGTGTATTTCTGGAATTTTTCATTTAGTATTTTTGGACTGTGGTTGACTGTAGGTAAAAATCACACAATTGTGAATAAGTGAGTACTACTGTATCACCTTATGATGTAACTTGGAATATTTTATTACTTTATGCAACTTCTCTCTCCCTCCTCTTAACCCCCTCACTCTCTCCTTCTCCCTCATTTTTGAGATAGGATCTCAATATGTAGTTCAGGCTGGCCTGGAACTTGCTGTGTAGCTGTTATGGCTTGTATCTAGATGGCCCCCCAAAGCTTCATGCAGTCATAGGTGGGGCTTTTGGAGGTGGCTATAGCTATGGTGTATGATTCTGGGGTCAAGGATGTGGTGCTGGGATTGATTCACGGTGCGATGCTGGGATTAAGGGTGTGAGTGGTACCCGCCCTAAGGATGGGTAGTTTGGATATTTAAAATATAAAAGATAGAAAGAGGGCTGCTATTTCTTGCTTCTTGCTACTGCTACTTGTCTTCTGTGCCTGCTGTGTGATGCCCCTCTGCCATTCCACCCTGCCTTGGAGCCAGCCAGTTATGGACTGAAACTTCTACAAACTGTGAGCTACATGAACCTTTCCTCCTTTAACTTTTTTTTTGGTATGGGGAATCGAACTCAGGACCTTGTGCTTGCCCTGCAGGTGTTTGTGCCACTAAGGTAGATCCCCGGCCCTCCTCCTTTAGCTTTGAGTATTGGGTATTTTGTCTCAGCGACAGAAAAGTATTGAGTGCTGAGATTATAGGCAGGCACCAAAATCCCTGCTTGTTTACTTTCATGATGGTGTCCTTTGATGCAGTAAAGTTTTTAATTGATAAAAGTCCAATTTATTTTTCTTTTGTTGTTTATGCTTCTAGTATTATATCTAAGAAATCATTACCTAATACTAGATCATATATATTTGCTTCTGTGTTTCCTTCTAAGAATTTTATAACTTTAGATCTTACATTGAAATCTGTGATCACTTCGGAATTCATTTTAGTACATGGTGTGAGGAAGGGGTCTAATGTCATTCTTTTCAATGTAGATACCTAGTTGTATTAACATTATTTATTAGAAAGACTATTCTTTCTAGGTTGTTTTTGGTACCCTTAGAAAATCATTTGAGCATAAATATTTATGAATTATCATCTTCCATTGACATATATTTGTCTTTATACCATTTCAGGAAATGAATCCTGCAACTTTATTCTTCCTTTTCAAGATTCTTTTAGCTACTCTGATACTATCCCATTTCCAGATGAACTATGGGGACAGTTTGTCAGTTTCTCCAAAAAGGTAGCTGGGTTTAGGTTAGGGATTGTGTTGAATCTATAGGTCAATTTAGAGACTATTGCCATTTTAACAGTATTAAATCTTGCAATCTGTGAGCACAGGATTTCTTTCATTTATTTACATCTTTGATTTCTTTTGAAAATGTTTTATAGTTTTCAGTGTATAAAGTTTGTCTCCCCTTGTTAAAGTTACTCCTCAATACTTTGTTGTTATTGGTGCTTTTGTGAGGGGAATTGCCTTCCTAAATTTACTTTTGATTATTCATTCTTAATGTGTAGAATATCTTTGATTTTATACATTGGTTTTTTTTTTTTTTAATCTGAAGCTTTGCTGCTTATTTAGGAGTTCTGAGTGTATGAGTGTGTGCAGAGTGTACACTCAGACACTCAGAACACTCAGTGTGTTCTGAGTGTCTGAGTGTATGAGAGTGTATGAGTGTGTGTCTCTGTGTGTGTGTGTATTTCTTAGGCTTTCCTACGTGCAGGATCATGTTATCTACAAAATAAATTAGTTCTGTTTCTTTCTTAATTTGGATGTATTCATTTATTTGGCTTGCCTCATTTCCATGGATAGGACCTCCAGTACAGTATTGGGTAGAAGTAGTAAAAATGGATATTCTTGAGGTGTTTCTTAGGGAGAAAGCAGTCCTTCACCCTTAAATATGATGCTGACAGTAGTTTATTTGTTTGTTTTTTAGATTCCTTTTTTTCAGAATAAGGAAGTTCCTTTCTTTTCCTAGCTTGTAGACTGATGGGTTTGTTGTTGGTTTGTTCTATTTTTAAATCATGCAAAGGTTTTGGATTTTTTTTCTGTTGAGACCGTCCTGTGGTGTTTGTCCTTTATTCTGTTAGTGTGATGTATTACATTGATTTTCTTTTGAGCATTAAACTGATTATCCCTTCCTGTAGTGAATCCCAGTTGGTCATCACATATAATCCTTTTTATATACACTGTTGCATGCAGTTTTAATATTTTGCTCATGATTTTCACATCAATATTTCTAAGGAAGGGCCAACAGCATAGCTCAGTAGTAGAATGAGCATGTAGCATGTGCAAAGCCCTGGGTTCAATGTGTGTGTGTGTGTGTGTGTGTGTGTGTGTGTGTGTGTGTGTTAATTTATAAGAAATATTGGTCTGCAGTTTGTTTTTGTCTGGGTTTCATATCAGGATTATATTGGCCTCATAGAATTAGTTGAGGAAATGATTCTTTTCTGTTTTTTGGAAGCATTTATAAGAATTGATATTGTTTTTTAAACATTTGGTAGCATTTGTAGTAGTCTTTTGATGCCTGTGTTTTTCTTCATGGGACATTTTCAAGCTCTTTGTTTTAGGTCTATTCAGATTTTCTTTTTGAGTCACCTTCAGAATTTGTGTCTTTCTAAGAACTTTTTAACTTCATCTAGATTATTTTAATTATTGGCATACAGCTGTTTATAACATTCCCTATAAGTCTTATTTCTGTAAGGTGGGTAACTATGTCT